TGAATGAAGAAAATATTCAACAACATTCCTTTTTATTCAAAACATTCCATACATAAAAAGCAAACCACAACCAAAGCATAAAAAATAAACAAACCACAACTAAAGCATAAAAAAAACAACAAAGCATAACTAAAAATACAACATAAACATAATACATTAAAAAAACATCTTCACTTTTCTTTATTGTCCTTCATTGCCTTTCACTGCCCACAAATGCTCCATCAAGTCCATTTGACGGTGTTCATGAATATATGACGATTGCATCTCTATGTAGCGCTCAATCATCCGATGCATGAAACTACCGTCTCTAACTAACGGATCATGTTGCACTGGTTCTCCATTTGGCCCCATAGGTTTTTCATAAATTCGTGTTAAGGCCGTGTTCATAGGACCTGGTTCATAGACTTCATCAACATCGTAATCATACTCATCTTCCACAATCATGTTGTGGAGGATGATGCAAGTCATCATTATACTCCTAAGCACCTCCTCATCAAATAGACGTGCCGCTCCCCTGATAATTGCCCACCGGGCTTGAAGGATACCAAAGCACCTCTCCACATATTTTCTGTACCCCTCTTGATAGGCAGCAAAAAAAATTTCCTTGTGGGATCAGGGATGTGGAATTGATTTCACAAATGTTGTCCACCTCGGGTAGATACCATTAGCTAGATAATACCCGTTCTGGTAGAAGATATTATTAATTTGACATGTGATAGTTGGGCCTTCACCTCTCAGAACATCATTGAACACCATGGATTGACCCAGGACGTTCAAATCATTTTGAGAGCCGGCAACTCCAAAGAAGGCGTGCCAAACCCATGTATCAAAACCATCAACTGCTTCGAGGATGATGTTTTTCTGCCCTTTCCGATTCCCATAATCCCCTTGCCAAGCAGATGGACAATTTTTTCCATTGCCAGTGCATGCAGTCAATACTACCAATCATTCCAGGAAATCCACGAGACTCAGCTTTTTGTAGAAGTCGTTGCAGGTCCCTGGGCGTAGGTCTGCGCAAGTAGTC